TTTTGGTAATATTACAATGTTCTTGTAATTCATGTTTTCTTGTCAATAAACGAGTGGTGTGATATTAAATGTCTTTGGAGGCGAAAAGGTTAATACAAATAAGTAGCATGTATATTGGTTGTGTATGTGAACAAAATATAGGAAAGAAGTGCCTGTTGCCCTGCTGTGTGGAGAGTGGAGGGGTTGCTGCTGAAGACGGAGGTTATATGATTGTCCATATTTGGCAACCTGTTTTAAGAAAAGCTGCATTTGCCGCTGCTTGAGAATTAAAAGAGATATGGTTGGGAGTTCGAAGGAAAAGAAGTTTGATAGGGAAATGATATATCATCTTGTGCTCTGTGGTGTATTACCTGTGTATGGACATTTCTGATCTAAAATTCCATCATAAATATGAACACATTTGCAGATATAAATATATATTATATAATATATTTTTGACATTGCCATTCTGATTCTGTTATCTTCTTTTTTCCTTTATTCCCTCGAGTTGAAGTTTGACGTGGGATATAAATTAGGAAGTTCCTTTTTCCTTTTTCGTTTTTATTTTTTATTTTTTTTCCACTTTTCTATTTTTGCAGATTGAGCCAATCCCAAGTGGAAATCTGCCGCCTGGGTTTGATCCAAGTACATGCCGCAGTGTGTGAGTGTTGTTCAGAGAGTTTTTTAGTTTTGTTTCTTCTCTCTTTTTGCGTGATTTCCTAGCTTGTGTCATTGTGAATGTTTTGAGTCCCTCTTTAATGAGTCCTATGAACCTTCACATCATTACTCTGTTATGTGCCTTGTTTGACCCATTTACCTAACCAAAGCTTAATCTGTCAAAAATTTTAGTGGCTTTATTGATCTTCTCTATTTTGTAATATAATTTTTATTGTCGTTATTCTCGTGTTTAACATATATGTGCTGCTTTATTTAGTATCATCTCATTTTGTAATCTCTGGAGGGGATCCTTATAGTTTTGTCTATTTTTCTGTGTTTCCTTTTCTTTTGAACTTCTAGGTTTTTTATTTTTGAGGAAATGCAGGTATGTTGGAAATATTCACACACAGGTAACTGAACTACTACTTCAAGAAGTTTTTGCAAGTACTGGTCCTGTAGAAAGCTGCAAGCTTATTAGAAAAGAAAAGGTAAATCTTATTTGTGCTGTTTCCGGTGATTTATAATTGTAAGTTGGTAGGCATGGACTTAGATTTCTAGTAATGATGATTTTTCTTGTATTTATAATCCGTTTTGCTCAATTGCAGTCATCCTATGGGTTTATTCATTATTTTGATCGTAGATCAGCTGGACTTGCGATACTGTCTCTTAATGGAAGACATCTGTGAGTAGGACATATTGAAGGTCCAATGTTAAAATCTTTTGAGATTAGATTTATATGTATCTTATTACGCGTTTTTCAGGTTTGGGCAGCCTATTAAAGTTAACTGGGCATATGCCAGTGGTCAGAGGGAGGATACATCAAGTGGGTCGATAGTTTTATGATTTCGTACCTGTGTTTCTTTTTCACTTTATCAAGTTGATGTCTTGTATTTTTGGTGCAACGACACTTTATACCTTCTGTGCAGGTCACTACAATATTTTTGTTGGTGATCTCAGTCCCGAGGTTACTGATGCCATGTTGTTTGCTTGCTTTTCTGTTTACCCAAGTTGTTCGTAAGCTCCTCCCACTGTCTATATATCTTTTATTTGTTGCATGTGTATGCATTCACTCACAAGCATGCTCTTTTTCTTGAATTTCAATCTCCAGCCCAGACTGCTTTTTTTTTTTTAAGTGGGATAGGGGATTGTGAGGCTAGTTTGTATAAAACACGAGGTCAAAACAAAGGGAAATATTAGTTTTGCTGGAAATTAATTAAGTATTTTATTTTTAGTTTGTTTTACGAGGTGCTGATTTTTTTGTTTTGGTCTTTAGTGATGCAAGGGTTATGTGGGACCAGAAGACTGGACGCTCTAAGGGATATGGGTTTGTCTCCTTCCGGAGTCAGCTGGTATATTTTTGTGCATTACATTTGAATTTATTCCTGGACATGCAATTTTCCTCTTTTCTAGTTAAATTCATGGATTTTCTTTTCAGGATGCCCAAAGTGCAATCAATGATCTAACTGGTGAGCACAGTGTGAACCTTTTTCTTTTCATATGTTTTATTTGCATGTATCTGTTTTGATATCTTGGCATGGCTATGATGTGTTACTATTTTTTCATAAGCAAAAGATCACAAAGCTTAGGCAATACTTTTCTATTTGTCAATTTCTCAGGAAAATGGTTGGGCAGTAGGCAGATGCGCTGTAACTGGGCCACAAAAGGTGCTGGTGCCAGTGATGACATGCAGAATGCGGATTCTAAAAGTGTCGTGGAATTAACAAATGGCTCCTCCGGTGAGTAAGCTTGGATGAAAAATCTCAATAAGAATTGGTGAGAAATGTATAGAAAATGCTTTTGCAGAGAAGATCAATGGTAGTGATTACTGTGAAATAAGAAAGTGGCATGGATTGCTTAAATCTGAGTAATTTATTTTCCATGTCGCCATAATTTTTGATCTAGGTGTGGTTTTGTGATTAATTTATTGATGATTCTATGATTTACCCATCAGTATCAATTGAGATCAATTATATTCAGATCGATTGGTTTTTGCTTTGAGTCTTTGACAGAAGATGTTAAAGAGGCAGCAAATAGTGATGCTCCCGAGAATAACCCTCAGTACACGACTGTGTATGTCGGCAATCTTGCTCCAGAGGCAAGAAGCTCCGTCCCTTGTGCTTATTGTTCCTTCCCAACATACAACCCCTGCAAAAGAAATGGAAATAGAAATTCTGTCTAGCATGCTTTATTTTCGGTTTCTATCTATGGTGTACGTGTGATTCAAGTCAGGAGTACTTCTGATGCTCATGGACAGTGTCCCGGCATTCTTGGTCCTCTAATACTAAAAAGAAAAGAATTCCTAAAAGCTTTTAAATCCTTAAAATACGTGTTTCCCACTCTTTCTGCTGATGCCTTCATTTTGCCAGGTAACCCAGGTGGACCTCCATCGCCACTTCCATGCTCTTGGTGCTGGAGCAATTGAGGAAGTTCGTGTACAGCGTGATAAAGGGTTTGGTTTTGTAAGATACAGTACCCATGTGGAGGCTGCTATGGCTATTTCAATGGGAAATACATTTCTCTGTGGAAAACAAATTAAGGTTTGTCTTAAATTAATTTTAGTAATTATCTCAGTTGTGGGCTCCAGGTAACTTATTAGTCAAGCTATTTTTTTCTAAAACCAATAATGAATTTGATGTGTTCTCTTTTCAATCCATGTGAGCTTCAGGTCTAGCACATAATTTCACCTCCCTATTCTTGGAAATCCTTCTATCTTCTCCATCATTTATTTTTATTGGTATGTTGCTGAAATTTCAAAAAAACCATTTTATTAACACCAAGCAGCAGTGAGAAACCGTATATATTCTGGAATGTAGTTATAAGCTTGCTGATCACTCTCTCAGTTTTACTTGTGCCTCTTTGCATGTAGAGGTATTGGACTAGAACTGTTTGTATGTAGTTTTCATTATCAATGCGGCAGAAATGTAAAAACATCCGTTTTGTCAACATCTACCTCTAGTGAGAGATCCCATATTGTGGAATACAGTAAATTAACCTACCAATCGTTTTCCAACTTCTTTAGTCATGTTTCTTCTGAAGACTTTTTGGAGTAAAACTACTTAAATGTATTTTTAGCTTTATTGTTTTTGAATTTTTTTTGGATGTCTTCAGTGTTCGTGGGGTAACAAGCCAACTCCGCCTGGAACAAGCTCAAACCCTCTCCCGCCTCCTGCCCCTGGACCCTTGCCAGGCATTTCACCGACTGACCTTTTGGCTTATGAACGGCAACTTGCTTTGAGCAAGATGAGCGGCGTTCATGCTCTCATGCAACCCCACGGGCAACTCTCTCTGAAGCAAGCATCCATGGGAATGGGTGCTGGTGCAAGCCAGGCTATCTATGATGGTGGTTTCCAGAATGTAGCTGCTGCCCAGCATCTCATGTATTACCAGTGATGTAACATGATTTCAGACACCAAGACGTACAATACCAGCCTGCAGTTGAGCTCCTTCTTTAGTTTGTATGATTTATGTAATGCTTCTGTATTTTTCAACTTTATGTGCTTGCGATATGTATTGATGTGAATGAATGATTTTATTATTGAATAAAATTGGTCTCCATCGTGCTCTATGTAGGTATTGAAATGATATTCTCCATTGCCTTGTTAGAGAGAATTGTATTACTTGGAAGAGTTGTGCGTGTAATTCTTTCTGATACGTAGTGCTCTGTCTCTACCGTGTTAATGTGACGATAATATTCTGGTAGGGCTGGCTGGATTCGATTCAAAATTTGATATATGATTAGTGTTTTTGGATCAAGTCGAGTGCTCTAAAACATTGAAAATGAGACCTATGATTTGTGTGTCCACCCTTAGTTGCAAACTGATCTATTGCTAGTTTGCAATCTGGTAGGCCTAACCATTTTTTATTACTCGTCTCAATTGACATTTTGAATAAAATCATTTGCTTATTATTAGTTATGGTGAAACTATGTCCATGCCAAGCAGCTGATCAAGATTTTGGATTGAAAAAATTATCTTCAGCAATTACTGTCCGTCTACATAGATCAATATTTGGTGTTTGACTCCATTCATCACTTCATGGCTCACAATATTTAAGGGATTATATTAGGGTAATTATTACCACCACAGAACTTGCTACACCACAATTTTAAATAATTTTTCTATTTACTCAAATGACCCTAAGTAAAATCACTTAATTACCCATAATTTTATATAAACTATTAACATAAAGAAGACCGTTTCTTGAAGACATGTCGATTGTTGATTGGAATTGGTGGCAAAGGTAACAGGTAATCCATTGGTTTATGAAATGGGAACTGTGGTACAGACTTGTAGATTGGAAACCATGGTAGGACTGGTGATGTCTAGGTTGGACTTGGTGGAGGAGTTGTCTGGGGAACTGGTGATAGAGGTGGCATTGCGGGTGGCTGTGGTTTTGTCTGGTAAACGAACGGAGGAGGTGGCGTTGGTGGAAATGGAGGTAAGAACCATGGTAGGCTAAAGTATTTCCATAATGGAAAGTCTTTCTTCCGTTTCCATGAGGAAATTGGATCGAAAAATGGCCAGAGGAAAATTTTAGAATTCCCTTAAAACACACTCCTTAAAACCTCGAATCTAAGGCAGAGCCGCAAAACGAACTGAATCCTTAAGAGCTTATATAACCGATCAAGTCAAAAATGGCAACCATTGTCTCTAGTGCACGGTGCAAATTTTCTAGTGGCTAAGCACACTTGTAGCCTTCTCTGCCATGTGTCCATGTCTGTCAACCTCCGATGTCGTGGAAAGCCTCCTGTACTAAGTGGAATTGTATTTTTTTTTTTTTTTCATTTTTCATTTTTATTTGATTAAGATTATAATTGTAAATTTATTGTGGTACATTTATTAAAAATATATTATAAATGTGGTGTGATTATAATATGGTATAATAATTATATTTTGTGGTGGGGTAATATAGTTACCCATTACATAATTTAGATGCAAATACTTCTTTCATCACGACAAGAGTTGGAGCAAAACAAAAATAGAATAATTTGGCCAGATTGTTTGGCAAAATACAGCTTGACATTTTGTTATTGGATGAAAAATGTGATTGTGTTTTAAAAAGTTCAATGATAAAATGTCA